CAACAACAAAAAACCAGCTACAGCAAAACAAGCACAGGCCATGTGTGTATGCCTTGAAACACACAAATCAATACACCCAACTAAGTAGGAAAAGATGGAGACTACAAAGAATGAACAAATGTGTGGTCGGAGCCTATGTACAGCACTGTGCTGTGAAATCATGAAGAAAATAATGAAATGCCACATTTAAATCTGAAATTTGGTTTTGGTTTTGGCTTTCTGCTTTTGCTTCTGTGAAATTTCAGCTTGAAAATTTCATTTAATGTGTTCATTTAAAATGAGTCAATCATCTTGCACCAAAAGAAAAACATTTCTGGTCATTCCTTTTTTAAAATACTATTTTTAAAAAACACATAAGCTATATATGTGTGTGTGTGTTTACTCATTCAGTTCATTTAACAGATGTTTTTATCTGTCACTATAAAGATTACTTAGGAGCTCTGGTGGCTCTGTAGGATAAGCACTGGACTGCTAAATTCAAGGCTGACAGTTCAAACTCACCAGCTGCCCCAAGGAAGACAGATGAGGCTTTGTGCTCCTGTCAAGACATACAGCTTCAGCAGCCCTGACTAGGCTCGTGGTGAGTCGGAAGTGCCTAGATGGCATTGGGTATATACAGATAACTTAGCTAGGACTGCTAAGATTGAAAAAAGAACCAGCACTTACTGAGCGCTTAAAATGGACCAGGCAGTGTTCTAAATGCTCTGCATAGATTAATTCATTTAATTCTTCCAACAGGCTGACTCTATGAAGTAAGCATTGCTTTTAATCCTCATTAAACAGAGAGAAAAATGAGCCAGAAATAGTTAGGTTTACTAGCTTAGATTCACACAGCTGAAAGTCAAACCTAGATAGTCTGACCTCTTAACCATTAATTCTCCCCAAGAAACTTTAAAGTAAAAAGAATACACAGCCATAATCTAACCTTTCAGTTCTCTCAGGTACAACAAACATTTACTATGTGTTCATCCTGCACAAGAATTGCTAAATCAGACACCCAAAGTCTTTTAGCTAATGACAACAGATGTGGGTTTAAGAACCAGCTCCCCATTTTGTGTGAACTGGGACAGACTACTGACACTCTTTACTCCACACTTCCTCTCCTAGAAAGTGAGGATAACACACCATACAATTGTTGAGATACATCATTTAGCACAGGATGGCACATAAGCATTACTGTACACTGCCTGCCCTTGAGAAAACTGGTGGAAATACAGAAAACCATGTAAATAATTACATAACTGTCTAGAAAGTTTTATAATGAATAATTGCTCAAAACACATTGGGACCCTGAGGGGGGTGCGTAAACAGAAGAGTAAGAAGGAAAGAACAAGTAAATGAGAATTAAATAGAAAAGGGGGTTTTAATTAAAGTCAAACTCTATATCCAGCATTTCATGAGTTTTATTTTGTATATTGTGCTTAATACAAATAGAAATTGTTCTATCATTTGCAGTGTTATATAAATAACATTTATTTAGCACCTCTTATATGCTAGGCAATGCAACAGAATTTCCCTGTATGTCATGTAATCCTTTAAATCTAACAACACTCTAAGGTTGTGTCAACATTTCAGTTGGTTTTGATTAGAGTTTTATGTTTTGCTGCATTTGAGTAGGTATACTCATCATCAGTCGGAAGATGGGTGGGTCAACCTGCAGTGATGTACAGCCTCATGTGGGTCTTTGTATTTATGTTGGACATGGTGTACAAATCTGTACTTATTGAACACTACAAATCACAGTGTAGAAAGAAAAGCAATATGCTATGAATTTAAAAAAATATATAGTACAAAATTTATACTTAAAAATGCAGTATATGAGGGCAAGTCCAAAAGTATTGCTATAACGGCAACGCCAGAGATGGAGGCAGAGATGATGATGTGGAGAGATGGCTGGGAACTCCAGACTCATGGAGGGAGAGGGGCTGTGTGCTGGCAACAGGGGGGAAGGTTTGCAGGGTATGCCCTTGGTTGTTTGAATGTTTATATATTCCTGAGTGCTTCCGTGTACATCCAAAACAAAAAAACCACAGAGGGAAGGAATAGAAGCAAACACTGTTAAATGATGATGTTTGGAGGGGATTGTAATCATTGCAATTATACAAAATATAATAGGATGAGTGTAAAGCTGATGTTCTCCCATGTAAACTATCACTCAATTCACAATAAAAACTTAAAATAAAAAGTATTGCTATAAAAGTATAGAAGCTCTTCTTGAACAAAAAAATCAAACTGGTAAAGGAAAGCTGTACTGACAGTAAAGCTACTGTTTCTCAACATCTAGGTCTATATACTTTTGAAGGTGATATTTCCATCGCTCTAATCCTTCCCCCAGCAGTTCTAAACTACCAGACGCTCCGCGGGAGAAAGATGAGACGTTTTGCTCCTGAAAAGATTTACAGCCTCGGAAACCCTGTACAGGGTCGCTATGGGTCGGAAACGACTCGACGGCACTTAACAACAACAACAACAACAATCCTTCCCCAGAGAATTCCAGGTTCTTCACTTGCACCATGTCAAAACGGTAGTTTTGACATCCTCAAGGGACTCAAATAGTGTTCCTTTTAAAGGTCTGATCCAGGCTGTAAAGTGGATGAGGTAAGTTTTCCTGGAAAGATTCTCATAAGGACAGCCCTAGCTACCCTCAAAAAATGAGTAAGTACATTGTTGTGATGGAAAAAAATCCTTCAGTTCAACTTTCCAGGCCTTTTTTCTTACCAGTACAGTTTCAATTTTCTTAAAACTTCTTCTTTATACACCTCCATGATTGTCTTGTGTCCTACAAGAAAGCTACCAAGATTCCACTGAATTTTGAAATGCTAATGGCTAAGAAATAACAAAAGAGTGGAAATTTACTTAAATTAGGATGTCTTAGCATTGATCGTTTCATCTCTTAAGGGAGTCAGTCTCCTCCACTCCTGAAGGGCCTATGCAGACCAGCTACATTAATGCCAGTGCACAGGATCGACAGAGAATTTCCTCATCCAGTGAGGGCACTCAATGGATGATTCTCTAAGGCAAGTTATAGTCATTGTTGAATAACTAAACAATACAAATATAAAATCCACATTTTATTTTTTTGCTTTTCTTTGATGCTGTTGTTGTTTAGTCCTGTCAAGTTGGTTCCAACTCATAGCGACCCTGTATAGGGTTTTCCCAGGAGTGGCTAGTGAGCTTGAACTGCTGGCTTTGCAGTTCAAACCAATCTTCCAGTCCAGGGCATTATCTACAGAATGTTATTCTTCAATCAAAGATAATCAGCATCTAATTGAGTTTTCATGAACAATTCTGAATGTGCCCTATCAAATGTAATAGCAAAATGTCAAATTATTAATAAAGATAATCATGAATAAAAAGTGAATTGTTTTTTGTATGGTACATAAATAAAATTATAGTGTAATACTGACAAGGTGCCAGTTCAAATCTGCCAGCTGCTCCTCAGAAACCCTATACAGGGTTGCTGAGTTGACACCAACTCGATGGCATTTAACAACATCAACAACAATACTAGTAAAGATAATGCATTTCTATTCGATCCCAAATATCTCACTAATATACAAAGGTCTTTTTCAGATCTTCCTCATCTGTGTACATTCAAAGCTTAAAGAAAAAAGATGAATAAATTTCACTCACTACCAGTAGATCTGCCCATTTGGGAAGCGATTTATACATTCAAATTATTGCTTCTGATACATCAAAATCTATTACAAAAAGCGCTCAGCAAATTCAAGGAAAATATAAAAGTATTACGAAAACTGCTGAGGACTGACAATATATTGCATTATGAAATAATTTACCTCTCTTTCCAAGTATGTGGAATTTGAAACTAGGCCTTACTTGCAATCATAATATCATCAAATGAGCTGACTGGCACCCCCAGGGTAGAGTAAGAACATTAATGATTTTTTAAAAATGATTATTATTATTTATCTAGAAGAACTTCTTCACAATAGTAGCATGTGTTCATAAATAAAAATATCCTTTTAATACCATGGATGAGTAAAAGTTCAAATGAATTTTCTAGTAAAAAAAAGTCACAAGATGACTATTTTTGTCACCTCCCTCTATTAGAGACCAATGTGGATATATGCTAGCAAACTGTCTTTCTATAACTTAAAAAGTGACACTTTTAAAAAAAACAATAGCAATTTATTTCTTATTTAAAGTTTAAAAGGTAGGGTCACGTCCAATCCTATATAGTCCTGTGGGAGTTCTCAGCAGGATTTTCATCCTATGCAATCTGATAATAATAGATCACTCATTCTCATGTATTTTAAGAACTTCCCTAACGAGTTGGGGTTCACAACATAAATGTGCTTAGATACAAATACTGTAAATAATATGCAATTGCAAACATAACGTATCATTAAAGAAATTCGTTTATGGTCATATGAGTATAAAATAACAAGTCAGAGGGATGTCTAGTCGTCATCCAACATCTTTGAATGCAACGACATTCCAGCTATGATATTAAAATAGAAAATCCTTTGCAGAGCGTTAACCTATCATTACACAGAGTAAATGGCATGGCACTGCAACCTAATTAGCAGTGTAGCTTGCATCTATAAAATAGAATTAGCACGACTGCTCCTTTTTTATTATTAGTTTGTGTGTTTAGAAAGGTGTGACCTTATCTGGATGGTTCTGCTCATTTATGCCCATCTACACAGAGGATTTAATTATGTTCTTTTTAGTTCTCTACACTGAGGAAATTGAAAACTGCTACTTCAAAATTTAAAATGTTAAAGAAGTCAGTGAGAAGATCATTTACTCTGTCAGTCTTCTTCCTTCAGAAATAAAGAATGGAAACATGTTTAAACAAACAAGGCATAGCAAGACAAGGGAATGAGCAGTCTTCCTTTGCTCTCTTCCATAATGCAGTCTGCAAGTGTCTCTAGTATTCTTAGGAGAACTAGCTAAGGGGGAAAATATCTTAATCCTACAAAAATTCCTAAAAGTTACATCCCATCACAGTCTGCAGCCACAGAATATCAACTTACATCTGAGGAAGGTGATTCAAGAACAATACCAAATCCTAAAACGTGGTTCTCTTCAATGGAGTTGCGCTCGGCTGCTTGGAGATCAGATTGCTGCTCAGAGGCCACTGTTGTCTTCTTTTCAATGTCTAACACACTGGGCTTCTGTTTCACAGTAAGAGGTTCAACAGTCTTTGGGGGAACTTTTTTCTTTTTATTTCTCTTGCGTGAGACAGCAGTTCGCTGAGAGCATATAAGGGAAATTGGGGGCTGTTGTCTGTTTTGAGTTCCAACTGTGAACAATAAACAAAAATATGGTTCAAGGCACATGTGTATAACTTGGGAAAACTTAACAGCCATCTACCTACAAGCTTAACAAATGGAAACTGAAATGAGGCTCACTCACAAGTAAATGTCACAATGGACCAACAAGTTAGTAAATTCCTGCTCTGGAGCACTTGGAAGTCTTAAAGGAAAAAACAACACCTGTGAGAAAACTTTGCTTCAGACAATAGTGAGTAGTTACAGATACCACTACTACTGGATGTTTTGGAAGGAGAGGCTTATGAGCAGTAAGAAAACATTTTGGCATGATTTTAGAAATTCTACAACATTTTAGGAGCACTGTAGCTCTGTATGATAAGCAATGGACTCCAAATCATAAGGTTGGCGGTTCGAGTGCCCAGGCTGCTCCATGGAAAAAAATGAGGCTTTCTGCTCCTTTAGGATTTACAGCCTCAGAATGAGTTTGAAGTGACTCGATGGCACTTAACAATAGCAACCATAACATTTTCACATAAATGAGGATTCTGGAACTGAAATATAAGGGTAGGCCTCCATGCTCTCTGCTGTGACTTGAGTTGAAAGAGTCCTGAAATTAGCTTACTAGAGGGGCCAGTAAACATGTGACTAAAGCCTGCTGTTCACTTATCAGATCCAGTAACTCCACCCCCAAAAAATATATCCCACAACTACACATGTTAAATGGTGTGGGCCAGGCCACTTTCCTGTACCTCCATTTATGTGGCTGAAGAAGAGGAATACTAGGATTCTGTACCCATTAAGCAAATCAGTAAAATTCAGAAAGGGCTACTACTGAATATGGTGGTAGCAGTAGTGTGCCACTGCGTCGGTTCCGATTCATCGAGATGCTGTACAGGATTTCTGAGACTGCATATCTTTACAGGAGTAGAAAGCTTCATCTTTCTCTAGTGGAGTGACTGGTAAATTCAAACTGCTGACCTTTTGGTTAGCAGCCCAATTCATAATCTACTACACTACCAGGGCTCCTTAATACTGAATATTTGTTGTTGTTGTTGTTATGTGATGTGGAGTCAGATCCGACTCATAACCACCCAGTACAGGGTTTCCAAGGCTATAAGTCTTTAAGGGAGCAGAAAGCCTTATCTTTCTCCCATGGAACAGCTGGTAGTTTCGAACTGCTGACACGGAGGCTGGCAGCCCGATTTGTAACCACTACCCTTCCAGGGCTCCTTAATACTGAATATACACTTATATAAATCAAGAATGGTAATTACCATTTTCACATGTGTACTTTGAGAAGAAACGTCTGTTAACCACTTAAACATACTTTCACGGAAAATTTAATAGAAAGATATGACATTATTACTTATATCTTTATATATTAACCTGGCTTACAAAAATATGACCACCAGATCTGCATGCTTTTTAGAGAAATATACTATAAACATAAGCCAAATAAAAACTAAAGCCTTAAAATGCACGCAAATATAGATCCTTCCCTCTTACTTGTGTGTCCTATCAGTCTGAAAATAAAGAATAGTTACATTTTGAACTAGCTATTTTCATATCCCCAGACTGGAAAACAATTTATAAATAAGCATTAGAAACATATTGTTTGCACTGCGAATGAGCACCGAAAGGTTTTTTATAACTCCTCATACAGAGTCCAGCTCAGTGGTTCTTAACCTTGGTTATACATCAGAATCACTCTGGAGGTTAAGAAAAAAAATTCCAACGCTTCAGCTCCACCCTAGACTAATTGAATTGGAATTTCCCAGGGTGGGGCCCTCACATCAGTGTTTCTTTAAAGTTCCTCAAGTAGTTCTAAGTGCACCCAGAGTTGAGAACTTTTTCTCTATCTGAATTTTCACCCAAGACTGGTCTACGTTCCCAGAGTCAAATGGATAATTGGAAGCAATTCTCGAGATGGTATGGGAAGTAAGTCCCTCTGAGCCTCACTATTTTAAATTAAAAGTGTACATGTTTGGGGCTTAAAGAACACAGGGACTATCTAAATTTTTGGTCTCCTTCAAGTCTAGACACAGCCCTAATCTTATCGCTTAATCTTATTCCTTGTCTTCTCCCTAAAGTAAAGGTGAAACTTTGTAAGTATGATTTAAATCTAAGTGTTATAGGCAATAAACCTTAAGTAAATGCCCACACTATACAAACTTTTAAGTTTAACAAAATTAAAGAAGAGTAATTTATGCAGTTTTATCCTTTATGCTATTCTACAGCTTTGGCATAGTTTACTGCCCTAATCGGCGGAGGTTCAGAAAAGAAAACATGGTGACAAAGTGGCATTTACTTAATAGATTCGAAAAAAGGCTTCAGTCAAGGATTTAAATGCTTGCAATTTGTAGTTTGCCATTTCAGTACTAAGGAGCTTAAACAACAAAATAAATCATTACAATTTCGTGTGCATATTTTCTTAAGTGCTAACAAATTCTTCCTCTGAGAAAAGACTCCGTATATAATAAAGTAACCTTTCACTCTGTGCTCCTTATTTAGGAAATGCTAACCTTTGCCAGGTTAATAAAAACACAGATTATGGTGGTGAAACAAGGTGAGTCAAATGCTTAAGGACCTTCGCAAAGTACATCTTTTTCCTTGGGATAAAAACAAAGTCAAGACTTAAAGTGACGTTGTTCTTCAGAGAGCCTTTTGCTCACTTTACTGTGGCCTTGTGTGACTGATACATTGAAGTATTAAGCATTTTACATCAAAATCATATCAATGAATATTAAAATTTTACTAGCATTCTCTAATTGGTACCAACACGAATTTCTGAATGATGACCTTCCCAAATAGATTAAGATTTTCCTGGTTTAGGCTATGAGCAAATAAAAATTTTCTCTGATAAGGCAAACAGGTTAGTAACTTGATTTACTATTTTCCTATACCCATGGCAAAAACAGACTGGTCTTGTTTCTCCCCTAGTTACAGAGATTAGAAAATATAGTCACTATAATAATGGCCTAGACTTCCAGATTCTATGCAATGCTCTGTGGTCTTTATAACATCACTACTGAAATAACTTATAGTTTTCTCATGCTTTACAAAGTTCATGTACATTTACTATCTCTTTTTATTTTCAAAACATCCCTGAGTTCAAAGTTAATGTTACATTTACAGATGAGAAATCTGAGGCTCAGGTATGTCACACAGCTAAGATGGTGAACTGGGACTCCGATCTCAAACTCATTGTTCTTCTGTCGTGCAATTTGTCTAACAAGTAAGGGAGGAAGGGGGAAAAAAAGAACATAAATAAGGCAAGCCATGAGGTATCATCTGAGCTATCAGCAAGACAGCCTCAGTATGCTTAATGTTAGAAAAACCATAAGCAAAGTCTAAGGTCCAACATGTCTTGTCTGTTTATGTTCTTGAGTATGTTCAGACACAGGGAGCACATACTTTCCAACGGGCTTCTCCACATACATCAAAAATGAACAACTTCCCTATCATCACTCCAAGAGCCCAAAATGACTTGAGCAGTAGTGGAGGTTGTCTAAATATATGCAGATCCCAACATAAGCACCTCAGGATGTCAGAAGATGAGCCATCCTCATTGTCTTTTCTGATGTGAACCTTATTGTTGATTCATATTAGGAAAATGAACTCAAGAACTATGCCCACCTTAATGTATAATTCTTTCAAAATTTAATTAACTGACATTTATAAAGTACTAAGAGATCATGAGATGAAGCATATTCAGTACATGTAGTACTATTAGCAATAAAAAATGTGTTTGGGTTCATAAAGGAAAAATGAGTTGTAAGAGAAAGCTAAGAAAATGGATATTTGACAGAGCACAGCAAAGTAGCAAGGTGGAAAGAACTAAGTAATGAAAGTAAACATCCCAAATGAAGGTGTCAGATATGCATTAAAAATCAATGGGCTGATCTGTGTACCTGCTTGAATTTGCATTAATTTCCTCATGGTCTTGAGTTCTTGCAGAATGGCCTGCAATGTTGACTGGCAGTTACAAGTACAGCAGTTTGATCCACCTGATGAATTCACCACCGGAAGTTCTCCTAAATATAAAAGAAAAGAATGACATGCTCCATACAAAACAAAACAAAATTACTGTTGTTAAGTGCCGTAGAGTTGGTTCGGACCCATAGCGACCCTGTATAGGGTTACCAAGGACCCGCTGGTGAGCTTGAACTGCCAACCCTGCAGTTCAAACGGCTTTGCAGTCTGGCACATTAGCTTACAGCGCCACACCAGGACTCCAAAACAAAGTATAAAGAGGAAGAAAAGAAAAAAGAGAAGGTATCGTGACAGGATTATGAGAAAAGTGTACCTAATAATTTCTAAAATCTAAATTTTGGGGTCTGTCTTTATCCAATTACGCAAGCATCTATATTGTCAGGGAATGGTTGTCTACATAAACATATACACAAAGGGCTGTCTCAGCAAGCCCCATGTTGTCAGACCAGTTCACCTCAGATTATGTTGTTGTTGTTGTTAAGTGCCACCAAGTCATTCTGACCCACGGAAACCCTGCATTGGGTTTCCGAGGAGCAGCTGGTTAGCTTGAACTGCCCATCTTGCAGTTCAAACGGCTTTGCAGTCTGGCGCATTAACCCATAAAATTCACTGTAAACATACTCAATATATTAAAAAAAAAAAAACAAAAAACAAACTCTGAAAACAGCTTTACAAAAAATTGGTCGTTATGTTATGCTGTTGTTGTTGTTAAGTACCACCAAGTCCGTTCTGACTCATAGTGACCCTGTATAGGATTTTCAAGGAGCTGCTGGCGGATTTGAACTGCTGAACCTTGAGATAATCAGTCCATTGCTTATTCTACAGCAGCATGCCAGAACTCCAATGTAAGAAGCATTCAAATTAAGCATTAAAGAACCAACTCAATGGCACTTAATAACAACAATAACAATTGTTAAAAAATTTTTATTTGTATTAAGCATAGTATTTAAAATATTAAGTGAAAACATTTAGAATTTCTCGGGGGTTTTTGCTGTGCTTGGGGTGGGGAAAAAGTGGGAACAAGGTATGGCAGGGTATTTTTTAACTTGATGGGTGAGAAAGTGTTGGTGTTGGCATTTATGCATCATCAATAAAGGCGGTCCTACATCTTTTACTCATTCCCATTTTTTACTGTTACAGTAGTTTCTTTTTCAATTAAAAAAATTAATCTCTTTTCCTAAATAAAATTCTACTTTTCCCCTTATATGTAAACAAGTATCTTCCTATTATTCTTAGAATAAAATGGAACATTAAGAAAATCACTTCTATAGTAGGTTTCCTTCTAGCATCAATATTCACCCTCTAAAATGCATCCATGTAAGAGGCTGCTTGTTGCTGTTGTTGTTAAGTGCGATCGAGTCGGTTCCGACCCATAGCGACCCTGTACAGGGTTTCCAAGGCTGTAAATCTTTACGGGAGCAGAAAGCCTCCTCTTTCTCCCGCGGAGCAGCTGGTAATTTCGAACTACTGACCTTAAGGTTCGCAGCCCAATTCGTAACCACTACGCTAAAGAGGCTGGTATCACTTATTGTTTCTCATGATGAAAAGGTTTTGTTCTAGGGTTTTGTTCCAATGATTTTTTTATTATGTAATTTAAATGCTATAATATGCATTATTTGGGGGAACTATGAAAAAAAATTGCCACAGCAAAATTATGAAATGTTTAAAGATAAATTAATGTTTGAAGTAGCACAATTGTTTAAATTCAAAATAGTAGTACATGGATAAGTTATAACTTTAAAACTGCCAATGATTCCAATAAAACATCAAAGTAATTATGGTTTTCAGCATTTCTGCTGAAAACATGCAAGCAATAATAGGATCTATTTGCAAAAGAATATAGAATAATTTATATTTGTAACTTTTATTAACAACAGTAACATTTTCCAGAGTAAACCTACCACCCTTGTTGTGAACTGGGTAACAGAACACTGCTTACCAATACCTTATTGATGTGGATTCTATTAACATTATACATCTCAGGGTATTTTGTTTTTCATAAAATTCCTTCCATGGCAGTAAAGTTAAGTGGGCTTATAGAATATCCCTCATCACTACTCGAAGCACTATTTTTATCACTTTTAGAGGACGAAGCCAAGCCTTTTCAACTTGTTATAAATCATTTTCTAATTTTAAAGAGAACTTTTTATTTTTTTATTTTTATGGAGGAGTCTTTAAAGAGCCATCTCCCTCCGACCTGGAAGCAGGCCAGCCTGTGAATTCGATATGGGCTTATGTAATATTGAGGGAAACACAAGACACGCGGACATCTCTTAGGGTCTTTTGCCATCACATCATTAGTGTCTCAGGATGGCTTTTCATGTCTTTGAACTGGTTACTACAAATTATGTTTTGTTTTGCTTTTTAAATCAAAACAGTTTTCATTTTCTTAAAGAATATCGTGAAATAAGAATGAATGGAAAAACTCCTTAACTTTTTAAGGAAACTGAAACGTACCCTGCTGCCAAGTACATTCTTATTTTGTCTTGTTCTCTTTGTGAATGCTATAGATCTGCACATCTATACATAATTTATAGGACAAACAGAATCGGTATCACTGGATGGTAATTTAACATGACCAGAAAACGATCAATATATTCCTAAAACTATGGGGAAAATTGCCATTTGGTATTTTCTTAACAATTAGTAGTAATCTATATTAAGGAATTTGTATTTGACAGGGGTAGTTTTCAACGCAAAGAAGGAAGTTATAAAATACAGATCATTTGGTTCAGTAGCTAGAGTCTGATATTAAAATAAAGGTGTCACTGAGGCCTTATCATCTTCTTGCAGTGAAAAACAAAAGGAACAGAGGAAGCAAGAGCATATATTAATAATATACCACATGACCAGGAGGCTTCTGCTAATGACAAAGGGGAACTCTTTCTTCCCTGATGGTCAGTCCTATATGTTCAGCTATAAATTGTCAAATGACAACTTAACTCCTCAAAGGGTTAAACTCTCCACTAAGAAATCTTCAACCTTGAATACAAATCCCCAGTCTTTTCTGACTCTCAATTCTGGTTTTTCACACTCTTCAATTTTTTCCTTTATGCTTTCTCGATTAAAACAGCTTACTTATTAAGGGAGAGTTTAATATACTACACTGAAGTCAAAGAGCATGCTGAATATTTAGAAAGAAAACACTTTGAGGATATCACCACCACCCCCACCCCACCCATGTACGCATTCTGAGTATCTTATGACAGGCATACCATTGGAGCTTCCTGCAGTGTGGGGCTGGCTCTGGAAGGTTCTAGAGCGAGTGCCATATTGTCCTGAGAACTGCCTGCTTTGGGAAGGTAACTCATTCCACGTAGCACCTGAAGAAGGGCGGACGCTCTGTGGGCTCTCAGCAGAGGAGTTCAAATGCTGAGGCCAAATCAAATCCAAATCCTGGGGCTCTTCTTTTAATTTTTCTCCTTCTTTGCCAACACGCTGATATATTCTACCAGTGCTGTCATTCAACAGTCTTCGCATTCCTGTAATTTGTTTTTTAATTTCCATGCTTTCATCTCCTAATGAAAACAAAGCCAGAGTTAGTATTACAAATTAGCAAAAGATAAAGTAATCTCCTACAAAAAAACACAAAACAAAATCCTTTGGAAATGAGAAAAATAGTACTGATTCCACGTAGAAGCTGATAGACACTGCAGTTATTCATAAAAAATAAATGCAGGAAAGTTGGCCACAGTGAGAAGAAATCCGTCATATTCCTGTTGCATTTTACTTTAATCCCTTTCTGGCCAAATTATCTTATAATAGTGTGTTTCACCTGCGACAGACTCTTAAATTCCCTCTTTAGAGGAGTTTTCAGAGTCAGGGTGGCATTAGAAAATAAACTGTGACAGAAAATCTAGATAGGAATTGTTGTTAGTGCCTTGAAGTCAGATTCGACGCATAGCAACCCTAGGTACAATAGGAAGCAACACTGCCCAGTCCTGCGCCATCGTCACCACTGTTACGTTTGAGCTTACTGCTGCTGCCACTTGTGCCAAGCTATCTCACTGAGGGTCGCCTTCTTTTTCTCTGACCCACCAGTTTATCAAACATGATGTCCTTCTCCAGGGACTGGTCTCTCCTGATAATATGCACAAAGTATGAGAGATGAAATCTCACCATCCTGGCTCTCAAGGGGCATTCTGGCTACACTTCTAACACAAGATTTGTTTGTTCTTCTGGCAGTCCATGGTAGCTTTAATATTCTTCTCCAACACCGTAACTCAAATGCATCAATCCTTCTATGGTCTTCCTTACTCACTGTCCAACTTTCACATGCATATGAAGCTACTGAAAATAACCATGGCTTGGGTCAAGTGCATCTTAGTCTTCAAGCTGACATCTTTCCTCTTGAACACTTTAAAGTGGTCTTGTGCAGCATATTTGCCTATGGCAATACGTTGTTTGATTTCTTGATTGCTACTCACACCATGAGTACTGATTTTGGATTCAAGCATAACATAGTCTTTGACAACTTCAATCTTTTCTCCGTTTATTATGATGTTACTAGTCCAGTTGTGAGAATTTTTGTTTTCTTTACACTGAGGAGCAATCCATACTGAAGGCTGTAGTCTTTGATCTTCATCAGTAAGTATTTCAAGTCCTCTTGCTTCCAGCATGTAAGGTATAATCCTCTACTGTTATTGCTGTAAAATGCCATCGAGTCGGTTCAGACCCATAGTGATCCTGTGTAGGGTTTCCTAGAAGCAGCTGATGGGTTTGAACTGCCAACCTTGTGGCTCATAGTCTAGTGCTGATCCTACAGAGCCACACCAGGAGTCCTGAGGAGTGGCTAGTGGGTTTGAATTGTTGACCTTGTGGTTAGCAGCCCAGTACTTATCCTACAGTGCCACACCAGGATTTCCTGTACTGTCCTAGGGGTATTGATGGCACTTAAATACTACTTAAAGATAGCTATTAAACTGTACAAATATGAACTATTTTCCATTAATACTATTAGAGGATTCCAACATCTATAAGGAGGTATCTTAAAACATACTGTGTCGGAGGTCCCTAGGACCATCAAGGGAGAAGAGCAGAGAGTGGGACCCTACCCAAAAAAAACAAACAAACAAAAACATACCGTGTATTTAAATTGTGGACCAGCCAGTATCTTCACAAAGATTAAGAGCTTGAACTGCCGACTTAGCAGTTCGAACCAACCTTATAGTGTAGTGCATTAACCCACAGTGCCACACCAAGACTCCAATTCTCTACTAGACGGTAGAAATCCTCTGCTTTGATACCTCAACCACTCACTTGTAAAAGAAATCCAAGCAAGGCAGGGTACTCTCTATTTTTCTGTTAGCTATAACGTTCGGGTGCAAATATGCATCCCTTTCACCACAGTGTCTGGTGGTAGAGTGTACAGTGTTGGACAGGATGTCCAGCTTTCTGAGAATGTGAAGTGTTGGCACAAAAGCAGCACTGTTAACAGAGAATGTACTTCGAACGACATTATGTTCAGAGACAATAATTTAAAAGGCAGACAGAAAGACTCAGTTGAAGTGGAGGTAGGATTCTGTCTTTCCAGGACCCTGACTTACAGAGGATAATTCCCAACTCTATAGGAAACCCTGTACAGGGTCGCTATGGGTCGGACCCGACTCGATGGCACTTAACAACAACAACAACAAATAGGAAGGGGACCTCAGCCTGGTGATATACAAGTAATCCCTGCTCCACTCCAACAAGCAAGCTCTAGAAGGGTGGAAGTGCAATCTTAACCCTCTGCCACACTCCTAAGCCTTGTCTGTTGTCCTGACTGTCCACCATCCTGGTCAAATTAAATCTGCTGACATCCCCTCCAGTGTCAACTTCATAGTTAGGTGCCAAAGATAATATTGTTTCTGAACTCCACTGCACACACCTTCTTCTTTTTAATGATTCTCTTTGCTCTAGGGGATTATTGTTGTTTGTTTGTTTGTTTGAGAAAACTAAGGTACCTTTGTACTGCCATGTTGTTGTTGTTGTTATGTGCTGTTAAGTTGGTTCTGACTCATAGAAACCCTGTATACGGTTTCCAAGGAGTAGTTGTTGTTGTTAAGTGCTGTTGAGTCGGTAACGATTTATAGTGTCTCTGTGTAGGGTTTCCTAGAAGCAGCTGATGGGTTTGAACTGCCAACCTTGTGGCTCATAGTCCAGTGCTAATCCTACAGAGCCACACCAGGAGTCCTGAGGAGTGGCTAGTGGGTTTGAATTGTTGAAATTGTGCTTAGCAGCCCAGTACTTATCCTACAGTGCCACACCAGGACTCCCTGTACTGTCCTAGGGGTACTGGTGGCACTTTAATACTACTTAAAGATAGCTATTAAACTGTACAGATATGAACTATTTTCCATTAATACTATTAGATTATTCCAACATCTATAAGGAGATATTTTAAAAACATACTGCATCTTTAAATGTGGACCAGCCAGTATCTTCACAAAGATTAAGAGAAGTGGGGATATTTTTTTCTCTAAACTTAATGTTAAAACAAAAGCCTTATGCCAGGGTATATGAGAATAAGTCAAAGGATATTGCTACAAAATCATAGCAACCTTCATTAAACAAAAATATCAAAAAATGAAGCTGCTGTTTCTCAAAATAATATCCATCTAGTTCTATACACTTCTGGAGGCTGTTTCCATCTCTCTAAACCTGTGGTGCTGTAGGATAAACACTGGACTGCTAACCTGCAAGGAAGGCAGTTCAAACCTACCAGACGCTTCACAGAAACTCTATATGGATTGCTGTGAGTCTGAACCAACTCAGCATCAACAATCCTTCCCCAAAGAATCCTGTGTTCTTAGATTTACACATCAAAACAGCAGTTTTAAAGGAGAGCAAAATAAACACTGGCGGGGATGTTGAGACACTGGGATGCTCCTGCATTGCTGGGGGGATTGCAAAATGGACCAACCTCTCTGGAAAGCAATATGGCGATTCCTCAGAAGGTTGGAAATAGAAATACCTTATGGTCCAACAATTCCTCTACTTGGTATTTACCCACAAGAAATACGAGCCATAACACAAGTAGATATATGCACACAATGTTCATAGCAACACTATTTACAATAGCAAAAAGATGGAGACAGCCAAAGTACCCATTGAAGAATGGATAAACAAACTGTGGTACATACACACAATGAATATTATGCTACCTTGAAGAATAACAAGGAGGCTGCAAGCCACCGCATAACATGGATGAACCTTGAGAACTTTATATGTTGAGTGAAATTAGTCAGTCACAAAAGGAGAAATATTGCATAGGGCCACTACTGTAAAAGACTAAGAAAAAGAACCCATACTAAAGGGGG